GTAACCCTGCGTTCTCAGAGCGCAGTGTTCTGGTGGGATAATATGGCACTATGAGCTCTCTAAGATATGACGGAGCTTGACCATTTAGAGCTTTATAAGTTAACAGTAGGATTTTAAATTCAATTCTGGATTTTACAGGGAGCCAGTGCAGAGAAGCTAAAACAGGAGAAATATGATCTCGTTTCTTAGTTCCTGTTAGTACACGTGCTGCTGCATTCTGAATTAGCTGGAGAGTTTTTAAGGACTTACTAGAGCTACCTGATAATAGAGAGTTACAATAATCCAGCCTTGAGTTAACAAAAGCGTGGACCAATTTTTCTGCATCTTTTCGGGTCAAATGTGTCCCAGACCACCTCAGCAAGTGGTTTGAGTGATCGGATTACATTGCATCTTGCTGGTTGTTTGTTATTATATTTAGTGAAGCCTACTTGTGATTGGATCACCCAAAATGCATGTTAATTCCAGGTCTAAACAGACTCGGAGAGATCTGAAACACAGGACATGGAGTACTTCAGGGGAGGTTTGCATTAAGACAACATGATTTTGTCATAAATTTATCATCAGCTATACTTGAGATAAAAATCAAACACATGTTTTTGTTCAGATGGTTCAGTGATCCTGGAGAGTCCTGTCCTCCCTGTGGAAGAAGGCAACGATGTGACTCTGACCTGCAGAAACAAAACGACTTCCTCACACCTGACAGCTGGTTTCTACAAAGATGGCCTCTTCATCAGGAGCAGCTCTACAGGAAAGATGCCCATCCACAGTGTTTCCAAGTCTGATGAAGGACTCTACAAGTGTCACATCTCTGGAGCTGGAGGATCACCAGAGAGCTGGATGGCTGTCAGAGGTGAGTCACTGCAATGTGATAGAAATTACTGCTGCAGCTCCAAAGACTTGAGGCAAAGAGAACCAAACAGGTGAGAACACAAACTACAAATCAGTACTTGAGGCAAAGTTGTTGAATATGATTCCCCTGTTAAAATACTTTCAGATTCCCATCATGCAAAGTTTAAATGGCTGATTTAAATATCTGAAAAAAGTGTGGGGTTTTGATTTTACTCAGTTGTTCCAAGTAGGGGGAGGAACCATGTTAACTTCCCTTCTTTGGATGGTAATGTGTCCACTCTTGGAGGCTGAGAGAGAACAGAATCTGCTTGTGGTTTGGAGCCAACAGGAGGGTCCAACCCAAGCTTCACAGAAGGATGCATTATTATAAGCCTCAGACACATTCTCCTCCGTGTCTCTTTTGTTGTCAAAGAGCTGTGACAAAACCTTTTTGGCAGAAAACCTTTAATTAAAGAAAGAGCATGAAGAGAGAGAGCACTCAGAGTACCAAGGGACATGGTTTACAAGGCTGCTGCCTCTATCAGTGTCCTTACAGGAGCCATATCCCAGCACATTCTAAGTTAAAATGCCTTATATTGTTATTCCAGAAGAGACTACTCCAACCTCATCCAATCCCACCTCCTCCGGTCCTACCCCATGGATTGTTACGACTCTCTTATTGATGGTTCTGCTGTTGGTGGTGGGACTACTTCACCTCTGCAAAGGGTATGGGCACAGAGGTACAGATACATCCCTCCAATAACTTTGTATCGTGAAGCACTCATAGTTGTTGTTGTCCTGAAAGGTGCACTTCCCCTTAATGTAATTCTTGAAACGTTTGTGCTTTTACTCTGAAAATGTGTTATTTCTATTTATTTATTTAGTTTATATAGTCGGCTATTTCTACCCATTTTTAAATGAATCTATTCATTATTATATTCAAGATATTCTCATACAAAGGCCTGTATGATTTCCTAAGAAAATGCACACAACAGTTCAAATGTTCCTATGAATTTAGAGGCCCATAAATGATGTTATGTTCCTGACATAAATTTACATAATTAACGTAAAGTTATGGAGGTTAGGTTTAGGCAAGTAAAGGAAAAGAAACATGGTGAGGACGTACCTTAAAATGACTCAAAGTTCACACGGTTACAAGCGCTGGTCTCCAAGCAAAGTCCTGGGGGAAAGTCCTTTGTTTTGCAACCCATCCACCGCTCCAACCTGCCTCCTAACTGGACTGCTTCCTTCTTTACTCCCATCAGTGCACTGGTCACATGATCACAGCCTTCCAAAAGATGTGGGTTATGAACCAATATGTGGGATATGTATGAACTTTGGTGCATTACTTTTCACAGGAAAATGGACCAAGTGTGTAAGAGCACCCTGGATAATTGCAGTCATAAAATAAAGCACAAAATAATAATAATATTTTCTCTATCATGTCTCAAATACCTTCATCTTCTCCTCCTTTTTTCCCTGTTGATGTTGTTATTTTTCCTTTCTTGTACTGCAGTATTGGACTATCTGTCCACAGTGACTCTTCGTTCAAGCTCAGCTGAGAACCAAACAGGTAAGAACACGAACTACGAATCAAGAGCACTTTCAACAACCCATACAACAAAGCACTTCAAACAAGGCAGCAAATTAAATTATACAATTCAATATCAAGTATTAAATGCCAATGTCAACAACCTATTTAACCACAGAGTGGGTTTGAAAAAACTAAAGTGAAATCATCCTGTCTGGTGTCATTACTGTTGATAATTGTTATGTCAGTTGTGATATGAAAACAAAATAGGTAACAGGCAACATGAATTTCCTGTTTGTATTCTGTCTAGGTATTTGTCCGTCTACAGTATCTGCTATGTGAAGTGATATGTTATTTGTTTCAGTCTCTGTAGAGGCCAGTGCAGCTGATGAGGACAAAGTGATGTATGCTGCTGTAACAAAAAACAGGAAGAAGAAAGGTACTCCAAAAGACATTGTTATTTTTCCTTTATGTCTTACTTGACACACTTTTCTACCTCATGTCAAATACCTGCCACAGCAAGCAGTGTCTACATTGTATATTTAGTTTAGTGAAAAGCTCAGTTTCGTTTTAGAATGTATCAACTGGTTTACAAAGTCACTGCCTCACCCTTTAGTACTAATAAGAGTTGTAGTGCAAAAATATGACTATGGTGTAACAAGCGTTAAAAGTTTCATTATAATTATACAGTAAAAATGTTTGCCATTGTCTCAGTCTTTGTGAGATGCTGGGTGCTGGTGATAAATGTGTATGTGCTGGTGGTAATTTGAGCTTCCTGGTTTCAAACCACAAAAGACAACCACAGAGAAAACAAGGGCCCCTCAGTGTATGTGGAGTAGAGGTTATGAGTTGGCTTTACACAGAACAAAATGGTCATCTATACCTATAACTTTAGACTTGCATTCAATTTAAAGTTAACATTTCTGTAATATTACACGTTTTCTCTTGTTTGCTCAAGTTTGGGAACGTTTGAGATTTAACAGTATAAACATTTCAGTTTACAAGCAATAATCACAGCCATAACACAGCAGCCCAGGCACGAGAGGATCATGTTGGCATTGTGCACTTCCGCAAACCACGAATACGATACATTTGTTCATTTCATACACATCATATCAACGTCTTTAATGTCATGCAGTATGTGAGCTGACTTTTTCATCCTGAGGTGAAGGCAACTGTGGATGTTGTGACACCGAGGTGAGACACCTCCAAGCTGCAGAACACTGTTTGAGACCAACAAATAACAAAACTGGTTATATTTTAGTGAGTCATTGCAGCCTTTTCAGCAGCTTTTTTACCACCAAATGTGGGTCTTTTTGTTGTTGTGTTTCCAGGGGTGATACTGCCAAAAAAGGCAGTTATTTTTTACAGTGGAATCACTGCATTTCCAGCTGGGATAGTGCTATGAAAAGTGGTTGTTTTTACTGAAAAATCATAATGAGAGAGGAGAAGTACAAAGCACTGGCCGAATTCAACCATTGGGTTTGTGGATATTTCAATTAACATATAAATTTGGGTGTCATCTGCATAATAAGGGAAAACAAAATAAGATCCAGAATTGAGCCCTGGGGTACCCCACAAGACAGAGAAGTGCAAGATGAGTAAGGTCCAAGACTGATAATATTGAATGAATTTTAAAGGAATATTCTGATTTTTTTTTTTTTTAATTTGCTTTCTTCCTGAGTTTGATTGATACCTTTCACATATCTGTGTTTTAAGCATGAAGCTGGAACGAGGACGTGATGTTGGCATAATGCTTAGTATAACCAAGAACACAAAGCTAAGCCAATGTAAGCTAATAAAAGCCAACCAAAGACTTCAGGAAGTCCACATTTTGAATTTTTATGATTTTGTTTGTGTATGAATAAAACAAACAAGATATAGATAATCTAAGATAATTTCCTCCTGGTTCCAGGTCAGTACTTAACACTAAGGTAACTCAAGACGGTAAATAACCACATTTCCCAAAATGTGAAACTAGTCCGGATACAATGAAAACCATTCAAGGGAACAAACACAATTTCAAGATTAAATCTGAAATGATCCACAGCATCATCACAGATGTAAATATATCCATTCATCAGCTGCCTAACACTGTCTCTCTCAGTCAGATGAGGATACATAGGTGTCTACACCCATTTACTACACCTTGGGCCCGGATGATACTAAACAACTGGGTGAGACATAACTGATGTTGGGATTAAACCAATATCAGAGACAACACCAATACTGTAAAGAAAAAAGTCACTGAATGTTCTAGTAAGTCAATATTTTACCAACATACTGACATCATTTTATTTGTTTTCAAAGCAGAACCAGGAGTATCCACCATCACAGCAATTTCTGTTCCCTCAGCAGGTGCCAACCCATCTTTAATGAGGATTGCCTTATATTCTACAGTCCAGCTGGTAAGACTTCTCTTTCACATTCATAGCATACTGTATGGGATGGATGTAGAGGTTGGAAAGATTCCTATATTTACAACTTACATCATTGGAAAACTTATGATGCAAATTTGGTCGTATATGAGGGTTGTAAAATACTGTACCTTGATTGTGTAAAACTACAACATATATGAATTTAGGTTTGATTCAATTTTAAATAAGAAACTTTGCTGGAAATAGGCAGCCATGCCTGTCTGAATTTCAGGCAAGTTGAATTAATTTGCAGTTTTCAAAGCTCCAGAGATGTAATCATGACTCAGATTCTGATGTGAACTCTGTTTACAAGTCAGAAACTCCCATTTGCCAGAAGAAAATGTGGCATTATATGTTTCTGCAGACCATAAATATGTTACATTTGCACATTTCTCACATATTATATCAACGACGGTATGTTTAAGTGAATCTATGTCATGTTGAGGTGGAGGGGATGGTGGATGGTGTGTCACCTGCCAGACCCCTGCCAACCTGCAGACCGCTGTTTAAGACCAACAAAAAATGAACCTGGTTGTGATTTAGTGAGTCAGAGTGCTTCCAGCTGCTTTTTATGCACCAAAATAGGGTGTTTTGTTGCAATTTGTTGCTGTTTTTCCAGCAGAGATAGTGCTAAGAAAAGAATTTTGTTTGTTACAAAGATATTGCTGCATTTTCTGCCTGGATTGTGCCCAAAAAATGGGCATTTTAAGCCAAAGACATGGTCTTTTCCTAATTTTAGCTAAGTTGTTTTTGCACCTAAACCTAACCATACATCAACTACAGTGTTGTTAAAATGTGAAGTTTCTATGTATCTAATACATAATGTGCATACGTAACATATCCATGGTTTGCAAAAGTATCAAATATTTTTTTCTGGTGATTAGGTTGGAATTTTATAAATGTAGTAAACTTAAATATAACCTGAATGCGGCCCCAATTCCAGCAGCATTCCCGTATACATATTTGTCACAACTTTAATTTTCAAGCTTTTCAAAATGAGAAGACTAATGTGTCGTATACAAAATGTTTCACAATAATTTGGGAATTTTAATATAAAATCAATATTTCTAAATGTAACCAGTCCCATGAGGTCAGTAACAGGGTAAGCATGGAGTTATGAAAGCCATTTAAACCTTATAAAGTATTTTTTATCTTTGTGCACTTTATGCATGCACACACATGCGCAGGGACGCTCACACCAGGCAATACTGGGGCCCATGGGACGGGGGTCCCCATACAGAGAGTGGTTGGAGGGCTTGCTCTCTCTGGGGCAGAGAACAGAGAACGAGGTTGTCCTCCCTCTTGCTATGACTGATTGTTCAGTTTGGAGATGTCTGCGCCATGACAACATTGATGTTGACATATGTTAGCTACAGTTAGCTCTGACATAGTGACACCCAAAACCAACTGCCCATATTTCCAGTATGACAAATGGACAAATGTCATTTCTGGCATAGTTATGTAAAAGGCACAGGAGAGTTCTGCTTTGTGACATTAATGTGTAGAACACAGCATGGACGTGCACATGCACTTTTTTTTTTTTTTTGCCTGCATTCACACTGAATGGGAAGTTAAGGTACTGCTGTTCTCCCAATTATTTTTATACTCAGTGATGCGCAACGGCTATATTTCTCATGGTAACATCAAAACTATTAAATACACAAGTGAAGTGTAGAATTCCAAAGAAAAACAATTATATCACTAATAAAAGTTTATATCAGGAAATATTATTGGTTTAGAAAATGTAATTTACAAAGGAGACAGGGGAAGAACTGCCTACCTTGGCTACCTGATGGCACGTCACTGAAAGTAACCTAAATATAATCATCACCTTTTAGTTTGGAAAAAGCTTTATAGTCAAATTTGTGTCATGAACCTACTCATTTCATTCAGTTATTTCAGTGAGAAAAGTTTTTTGATTTATCTTTAATTTTTCTGATTTTATTAATGACAATTTCAAGTCTTGAAAAAAAAAGTCTTTAAATGTTTTATATTTTTTAATTTAAAATGTCTGCACCACCCTGACATACTTTGTGTACATGTTGTTTCTGTTTGTTCTGTGTTGTTGGATGTGTCTTACAGCCTGCTGAGTGACTGCTAATTAAAGGCGGAGCTTAAAAAGGTGTGTTCATGGTTTCACACAGTGCAGAGTGCAGAGTGACAACAAGGAACTAACACATCCCCCATATGTTACTGTATCAGTGTTCATTTTAGCAGCTAAGTTTAGCCTCAGTCTTGAGACAAAAATGCTTATATGTTTTAAGTCATTTTTATCTTTAATGGTTTTAGTCGACAAACATTTTAGTGAATTTTTCAGTTTATTTTTCTATTTAAACTTATTCAATTAGGCTAATAGATGAATCATAAATCAGACTCAAGGTGACAGGTTGTATAAAATAATGTGTGTGTCATGTCTCCAGCAGTGTGTGACAGGTTTAAGGGCTGATATACGAACACACACTTACTGATAATCATATGAAAAGCTCAACATCTCTCTATTTATGCTCTCAACAAATAACTAATGTGAGCCAACTAGGATTTGTCCCCAAGTTCAATGTAAACTCTGACTTATCCATGTGACTGTTAAGAAGCAGAAACATAACTTCCTTCTTCATCTGCAACATGTCAGTCTGGAGGTTTAAACTTCAAACTAAACCTTCCAAATGATCTGAGTTCACACTGTTAACACATATAAATTAGCCTTTGTGCCTGTATGCAGCAATCAAATGCTGACCTTCTCTAGACAGTGCAGAACTGAGTGGAGACGTGCAGGGAAGAGATTTGAAGACAGATGGCTGGCTGCTTGCTCTGCTGCCATTCAGCGGCTAACAAGCAGTTAGTTAGCTGCTAACAGCCACCGCTGCAACTAACAGACTCCACAAATCCATTCAGCAGCTCCACCACACACGGCTGATAATTTACTGCTGAATTTCAGCTCACAACTCGCACCAATGGCTGACGCTGCTCCTGGTGCAGACTATTTACTGGAGTTTAGCAGCCTGTTGGCGCTCCGAGCTCATACTACTCATGTGACATTAGCGTGGCAGTTGTTGAGCAATCTGTTCTCCTCTCCTCACATTTTAGATGTAAGTTAGTCCACCACTGACATTTTCACCCTGTCTTGTCTCATCAACAAATATGAAACACTGATTTTGTCATAGCTTTTATTATCAAGATCTATTTTTAGCTTGTCAGGTTCTTGTCTCTGTCACCGCAAACAAAAGGTTTTTGAATTATTTTTGTCATAGTTTTTGTTAATGAAATTAGCACTGTACTGTATTACAAATTAGTATTATATATTTCTGTACAAATAATGTATAAATAAAGCAAAATAATGGAGGAACAAACTGAGTTGAGAGACAATGCAGTTTCTTTAATAAGCATGTTGATAAAAATGGTGCGGCTTGTGTACAGTACATTCACTTAGATAGGACAGCCATCTGAACATTTTTATTATCAGTTAACATTGTGTTCATATTTTAATAACAGTGTACTTTAATCAGCTGGAATGATATGGTTGTAAGTTCATGTGAAGCTCAAAGCATTTTAACATGGACTTATGTTGTCATGCAGTCGTCTGAATTTCTGTGTCTGTTTTTAAAGAGTATCAGTTCATTATGGTCTGACAGTTAAACCAACTCGCTCCATCTCTGCGTGAGAACTCTGTTCACAGGAACTGGTCTGTTGCAGCTTTCAAATGCACTCGCTGTGGTCAGCTGCTATCTTAACGGTGTCATTTTTATCTGAAGCACAGTTTGTGGTTAACAGTGTACTATCTTCACAATCTTGAGAAAAGGTTACTGACTGACTCATTTTGACCGGGCTGATAGATGTACAGATGTATTAACAGAATCTATTCTTGCATTAATGGTTGAAGGGTTTAAGCTGCATGTGCCTCGGTTAAGAGATGAATCATTTCACCATGTAAGTATTGTACAAATTATAGCAAAGCCTCTTCAATTTCGGCCCAGCCAACCTGATAGTGGTGCAGTGGAGTTTATTGGCTTGTGGAAAACTGTCAGTGAATAGGGTTATTCCCATGCCTCCCTCAGGCTCAGTTGTGCCTTTCCCTTTAGAAGTGTCAGTGTTTGTTTAGATAGTTGTTGTGCTGTGGTCCAGTATTAGTATTACAGTATTACATTTTGAATGATTGCTCAATGTTTTGGCAAACATCACACAAGTTGACGCAAGCACACATTTTCCAGAGAAAAGCAGCAGACTGGCAATTATTGTTGATCTCATCGCCAGTGTGTATACACGCTGTCCCTAAAATGATTAATAATATCACTACCATCATTGAAAAACAGCAGAAGTGGTAGCAATGCTTC